CTGAAGAGTGTGGCAGGTGAGCGCCCCTCCCCGCGCCCTCCCGGGCGGTGACTCCTGCTCCAGTCCCCCCCTGGCAGCGGAATTCAGACCCAACACTGTTGCTCAGTAGCGAGGAGCGCTGTCAGCGCGGATCGGAAGTTGGGGGAAGGGGGGTCCATGCTGCCACCCAATAGATGAGCCTAATGCAAAGGGAAATTTATCTCAGCCTTGTGTTGGCATACCATGCTTTGAGTAATCGCTGTGTGTGGGCACAAGGGTATTTCTCACCAGTGGAAGTACATATCCATCAGAGTGCCCTCTCTGAGTTGTCTAGGCCTGGATGTAGAGAGGTGTGTACTGCATGCTGTATGCTTTCATTTAACTGTAAAAATGACTGTGTGAATTGTTCCGTATTCATTCCATAAACTCTTATTCCGTCACAAATGAGCTCAGAAAATGTAAGGTGGAATCACACCACGCAACGTGCAGCTATTGTTCTGTATCAGGTTGCCTTGCAGAAGCACAAGACTGTGAGTACCAACCTCAGGGCACAGTGTCAGAAATCAATGCGTAAAGTCCCAAAATTGTTTGTAGGATCTAGTCTTAGATTTTACCGACAGAATTCAGAACATGAGAAGTAATTTTTTATTTACTGTATTCATCACTGTTAAAGCCTTAACTGGTGAATTGTGTCCAGTTCAGGGCACCACACTTGCCGAAGGAAGTAGACATATTGGAGAAATTCCAGAACAGAGCAACTAAAATGATTAAATGTGATCTGTGAGGAATGATTGAAAAACGTTAGTGCATTTAGTTTGGAGAAGAGAAGACTGAAAGGAAAGATGGCATAACTGTATACACAATTTAAGACTGGCATTATAAAGAGGAGAGTGATAAATTGTTCTCCTTAACCCAGGAGGATATGGCAAGAAATAATCATTTAAATTGCAGTAAGGGAGATTTAGATTAGACATCTAGGAAAAACTTTCCAATTGTCCAGGTAGTTATGCACTGGAACAAATGACCTAGGGTGGCTGTGGGATCTGTCATCAATGGTTAATTTAAACCCTGTTCGGAATGGTCTCTAGATAATACATAGTTCTGTCTCAGTACGAGGGACTGGACTAGATGATCTCCCTTCCAGTCGTAATTTACTGTGATTCACATATATATATATATATATATGTATGTATGTATGTATTTTTTTCCCCTCATCTGCACAAACCCTGGGCTGTCACAGTCAAGCTGGGTTCTTTTATTTTGATCATTGCCATCTTCCAAATTGCTCCTTGGCAGCCCCTTTGTCTTCAGATTATAGGCAATATCTTTGCTAAATTATCCAAAATTGATAATCTGTAGATTATGGGGGCTGTATGCTAGGGATATGAACTAGCTAGTCAGTCCCCTCCCCTTGATGCCTCTATAAGAAAGAGGCAGCAAAGGGGAGTAGAGGAGAGGGTCCTTTAAAGCAGCAGCACCACTGCGTGTAGCCTATGGCCAGACCCTGAGCTCCATGCAGCGCTGCTGCTTTGAAATGTCGCATGCAGCCCAGGGTCCCCAGCTGACCCATGCTGCACGTGAAGTTTCAAAGTGGCAGCACTGTGTGGAACCCAGTCCCCAGCTGACCCCAGGCTCCACGTGGTGCTGCTGCGTTGAAATGTTGCGGGGGGCTGCTTGAGTCCCCGACTGGCCCCATGCTCCCCACAGCGCTTTCACCTTTAAAGTGTAGCAATGGCCCCAGGGTTGTTGCTACACTTCAAAGGCGGAGGCACCCTTATGACCAATCGAGTAGTCGATGCAAATTGCATAGACTATTCGATTAGCCCATTAATCTAAATTTAACATCCCTGCTTCATGCATGAAGTTACCTTTGGACAGAAGGTTTCTTACTGATGGTGATTTATGAAATGGTAGGCAGTTGGGATCTAAAGTGATTTTGTCACTGAAGATGGCCGAAAACTAAGAGCGTAAGAACGGCCGTAATTTTGTACCTAAATTATTATGTACGCCTGTTTCTTCTTTTACATGAAGTGGTCTAAAAAACCCACTGTTTTGCTTTAGCACAACATTTCCCAAACTATGGGCCGTGGCCCAGTACCGGGCCACGGGAAAAAAATACCGGGCCTCGGCATGGCTGCCAGGGTGTTCTGGGCTCCTGGACTGTCCGTGCAGCGCTGGGTTCCCCAAGCCCTCAGCCGGGCTGGGCGGATGCAGCCGTATGTTTCAGACTCCTGGCAGAGGCATAGTGAGGGTTACCAGGTGAGCTCTTATTGCTGGCTGTGGAGGGGGGTGGAGAGGTTGGATATGGGCCACAGGGAAGCAGGGTCGGGTCAGTGGAGGTGCCCGGGGGAGATAGGGAGGGGAACCGGGTGGCGGAAGCAGGGCTGGCCAGGGGAGATCGCGGGGGTGGGAACCGGCGGGCGGGGACAGTGAAACTGGCTGGGGGAGATCGCGGGGCAGGGCTGGCCGGGGAAGATCG